ACTATCTGATAAGCAAAAAAGGCCCTAGGTATATAAAGACAATCTTATCATGAAGGATATTCCAAGAGCTTAGAGGTTTTTTTCCCCCCCAGAGGCCAGTTAAGGGCCAGTTCTTTCTTTGGAATGTGCAGGGTTTGAGCATCACAAACCCTCTGAGTTAACCCTTTACTGAACAATAAGAATATTATGAACCACTTAATGCCAATATATTCAACAACTCACAAGAAACAAATATCTTGGAAGAAAAGCTAGCAAAATCACTAAAGAATAGTCTAAATAGCACTATATCTATCAAAGAAATTAAATTTGTGGTTAAAAATTTCCCTACAGTGGAAACCCCAGAAGGCTCTACTGGTAAATTCTGCCAAGTATATAAGGAAGAATTAATACCAATGCTACCCAAGTCTTCTAGAAAACTGAAGAGAAGAAAATATCTCTCACTTGGTGAAACCAGTATCACCCTGATCCCCAAATGAAACATTACACAAAACAAAACTATAGACCAGTATCTCTCAGGAACATACGTAAAAATTTTAACACAATACTAGCCAATCAAATCCAACAATATATGAAAGCATAATAGATCATGTCTAAGTAGAGCTTATCCCAGGATGCAAGACAAATGTAACACTGGCCAACTGATCAATACAATTCACCATATCAACAATCTAAAAAAAAAAAGGCATATTATGACATAAATAGACCCAGAAAAAACATGCAAGAAAATCTGTTATCCGTTTCCGATAAAAGCTCTCAGAAAACTACGACTGGAAAGTAACTTCACCAACCTGATAAATGGCATCTACAAAAAAAAACAAAAAACAAAAAACCTAAAGCTAATAATGCAGGAAAATGGATGTGGGGCATGAGGAGGGCCGAGTCCCAGGCTTCGGTTGAGCCCCTGGGATGCGCCCTGCCAAGTGTGGGTCCTTGGCTTCGCGCAGGGAAGAATTCAAGTGCGAGCCACCGTTGAGTTAAGGTAGATTTATTTAGAGAGATACATACTGCATAGAGTGTAAGGCAAGAGAAAGGCGAGGAAAGAGATGTGGGAATTGGGTGCTCAGGTTAAAGTAAAAGTAGGTTCACACTCCATGGACAGAGTACCATCTCCAAAGGGGAGAGAGAGCGCGCAAAGGGCCACTAGGCTTGTTGTTGTCACTTGTTATGGTCTCAGTGGCTTCACACGCCTACAGGTGGGATCAGTCCCACTGCCCTGGGGAAGGGGCTGGGATTCCCAGGAATTGGGCCACCGCCCATTCTTTGGTCTTTTGCAGTTAGCCTTGGGGCTGTCATGGTGCCTGTGGGCATGTTATTTGATCACGCTGTTACAATGAGCGAGCACATAATGAAGCTCAAGTTCCAGTAGAAGTTAAACCTCCTAATCGTCAAGGCCAACTAGGGGGTGACTCTTTCACCACTTCGGTTGCTTTCATTCCTTGAGTGGCTGTGGCCTGCCCTCTTCCCTCCTGTCTCACTAACATTTTTAATGGTGAAAGACTTTATGCTTTTCCTTGAAATCAGAAACAAGACAGGGTACCCAATCTCATTCTTCTATTCAGCATGATACTGGTGGGTCTAGCCAGTGTGATAAGGCATGAAAAGAAATAAAATGTATGCAGATTAGAAAGAAAGAAGTAAAACTATCTTTCGCAGACAACATGACCATCCATGCAGAACATCCAATGGAATCGACATTTAAAATGCTGCTATAACTATTAAGTGTATCTATCATGGTTGATCAACAAAGATAAATCAACTTTATTTCTATATACTGGACACAAAAAATTGAAAATGAATAAAAATGCTATTTACGATAGCACCATGTTATTAACTACTTAGGGATAAATCTGACAAAATGTGCAAGACCTATATATTGAAAATTATGGCATATTGCTGAGATGCTATTTTAAGGCCTTATAAAATATAAAATGGCATCTTGATTCCTGTCAACCTATTGTTAACATTTTAAAATTTACTAACCCAAGAGTCCATGGCTGCAACTAGCAAAAAGTTAACAAATGGAGTTCATAGAAATTCATACAAGAAAGGAATCTGAGTATATAAAATGTGGAAATGTTTCAACTCAATATTTAACTTTGAAAGCTTTCTTCTCTTAATATTCATACAAGTGCTCAGTAGGCATCAAACACTGTTTTACACTCAGTAAATAAAGAATCCTCTGATCCTGTGGACCTATTACCTAACAGAGGGAAATAGGAAATAAACAAACGTAAATAATTTAGGACTTATAATTAGTGCCATGAAAGTAATAAAGAACACAGAAATGGGGGAAAATCAGGGATGCTATTTTGATAGGGTAGGGTGGTCACTGAAAGTCTTAGTAGACATTCAGGTCAAAACCTGAAGCAGAAAGAGTCAGCCAGATTCGAGAAAGATCATTATAGCCAAATGGAACAGCATTTGGAGAGCCTTGGCTAGGGCAGTGGGGAACAGGGGAGAGACTGGCATGTTCTAAAACCCTAAAGAAAGCCATTCTGGCTGGAGTGTAGGAAATGTGAAGTAAAGGGAAAGACCGCTTAATTGTCACATAAGAGGTAGGCAGGAGTCAGATGGTGCAGACTCGTATAAGAACTGGGATTTTATTCAGTGCAACAGGAAGCTGTTTTACAGTTTTAATCAGGCTACAGATATTAGATTTGTCTTTTTGAAAAGATTCCTCTGGCTGCTCTGGTGGAGAATCAACTGGAGGCAATCTAATAGTCTAAGCTGTCACAGATGGTCCCCTTTTGCCACAAACACATAAAAATGCTGAACAATACATAGCATGTTTTTATTTAAAAGAAAAAATACATCACATAACTTAAAAGAAAGCAAAAAGAGATGCAGAGAGCAAATCCAAGAAGGACTCTACCTTAAATAAGTGCTGGGGGTTAGGATTCCTTCCTATACACATTTGAAGATAAGATCACCAAAATGAAGTTCAGAGGGTGGAAAACATGGTCCACATAACAGAGGATTATAAAAAAACTCAGCCTACAGCTCTGGAAAGGCAGCAAGAAAGCCTGCTATCCGTGAGTTTTATACACATACACACATTTACACAAATCTATTATTTATTTATTCGTTCATTCATTCTTCTAAAGGACCCCTACAGATACCTGAGGCCTAAAACATATATTGGGGATGAGATCCAAATGTATATTACAAGTTGGAAAAAATTACCTATATCTGGTTTAAAGTAAATGAAATTTCTAGGGACCAGCAAAACCAATCTGTAGAGACAGTCTCTCAATCTAAGGTAGAGAGGACTCTCTCAGAACAAAGAACTTTGAAGAAGATCAAATATGCATCATCTGAAGAAATCAGTCACTATGAGGGGGAGCCAATGCAAACAACAAAGAGCAGATTTAGAAGCTCACAACTTGGAAATTATAATTTTACTTAGATGTTCTCTTTTACCATAATCTCGCTCACGCTTTGGTTCTCATTCAGGGTTAATGCAAAACCTTTTAAAATACGTAATTTCCATGTCTATTATGATTATTGATAATTCTTGAAATTCACCCGGTGTGAGCTAAAAAAAAAGTTTATGTATGAAACTTAACATGGAGCATACAAGGTGGTTCATTTATTTTAGATAGAACTAGATGGCTGGTGTCTGTAACTAAGAAACTGAATTAACTACCAGACTGGTACAAATCCCCATTTACTATTTCGGAGGCAGATAATCTGTATCTTCAATGTATTTAGCCTGTGTTCAAAAACTGGATTAATCTGTCTCCTCCGATCCTTTTCAATAGCATTTTAATTTTTAAACGTTAGGAAAAATGAGTCCACATTTAAAACGAAGCATTTGTGCGCACCTATATTTCAGAAATCGCTTTTAAGTTTATAAGCTTAAAAATTACAAGAATTCCAAACATCCTTCACCTTCTAATCACCTATTGAAGCTTGAAATACTCATTCCAACCCTTTTCTTGGCGTAGTGTTTTATTTTCAGTCTACTCCTTTATTTCAACTTGTTTAAAAACACTGATATACTACAGCCAAAAGCCACACCTGGGATTTTTACATGTAAGCCGAAATAATTTGTTTTTAAAACGCAACCTAGTCAGACAAGAAACAAGAAAAATTAAATAACTGTTCTTTTTTAAATCACCCTGATTTATATGTACTTTGACAATGTTTGCATCTTTTAACCTCCGAAATTTTGCTTAAATTGAGAAAACGGAAGCCCAAAAAAGTGTTCTAAGTAGTACCAGGACATGGACATCAGTTCTACAGGCAGAAGCCTAGGAAAAGTTTTCCCATTTCCCCAGTGCCCACGTTTCAGATGGTCCTCTTTGAACATAAAAGCAGATGAGAGATCATTTTCAAAGAGGGACTGAGACATCCCTTAGGTTACAGATCAGCGAAAATCAGGCACAAAACATCAAGGAGACACCCCACAACCTACAGAAGTCTGGGAGGCATTGAGGCCTTTGGAAACTTAGCTACACTGTTAAACGTGTCTGTTCCCTTTCCACTAGCATTCTCCAGTCCTCTGATTTTTTTTTTAATAACTAAAAGCCTAAATCTGAATATTCATGAGTCAATCTGCAGGTTGATTTCAGTGCAGTTTTGGAAGAAACCCCTACTAGCCACGCAGCAAACCCCTCCAGGGCCGCCCCAGTAAATCAACAGTCTCAAGAGGCAGGTACATCCTCCCTTCTCCACCACCTACTCGTAGCCACTTCCTCACTGCCTGTTTATCCCCACCCTTTATTCCCACGGCTGTTTCTCCCTTTATCCAGTGAAGCGATAACCCAACGAGCATAGGAGACAGGGAGAGAGAGTAGAGCCAGGGGAGGGGAGATGAGTGTCTGCGCGGCCGAGCCTTCCCCAGGAAGCTTGTCCGGCACTGCTGGAGACAGCCGCGAGGGCAGCCGGGGCCTGCGGCAGGGCAGAAGGGGCCTGGTGGCCAGGGCTCGGCGCGCTGATTGGCTGCTCAGCCGCGGCCGGGGAGAACCCGGATGTGCCTGGGCCGCCGTGTTGGCAGTCGGGGCTCCGAGGGTTTGGGTGTTCTCGGCGTGCAGGCAGCCGGGACTGATGGCGCGCGGTTGGGCCGGCTTCTCTGAGGAGGAGCTGAGGCGACTGAAGCAGACGAAAGGTAAAGGGACGTGTGTGCTGAGGACACGGCTGTTCATTCTCGGGTCTGTTAAGGGAAAGGGGCGGGACTGCAGTTTTTAAGGGGGAAGGGGGCGTGTTAGAGGAAGGAGCGCTAAGTAAGTGGGAGGACTGGATTGAGGGGGCTCCAGCGGTGGATGTTCTGCAGCCCCGATGGGGGTGGGGGCTGGGGGAACGATTCCAGAGTTCGGGAATCTATTTCAGGGATTTGACTTTTTCCTGTGAAAGAAATGGGACTTGGGAGAGGAGGAGAACCTGTAGGAGAATTGCTGCACAGATCAGTGTTGGAGGGTTGAGGCCGGGATAGGAAGGAGGAGGGTCCCGCACCGTGTTAGAATTGTGATGAATTTATAGAAGCAGACTGTGATTGGGAGAAAGCGAGCACAGGGGTCTGAATAAACGCAAAAAGTCGGTCATCTGGAGCCTTGCATTCACTTCTGGTTGCCAGATGATGTTTATGGTTCTTTGTAGCTCTTGAGAGGCAGCAAAACCAAAAGGGCCTTTGAGAGGTTAGATGTGAAATAGCTAGCTGTCTACTGACTTAGGTGTAAGCTAAAATTTTGTGCTTCCTTCTCCAGCTTTGTAGCATCATCATTGAGTGGACTTGCACTCTTTTGTTATCTTTTAGTGAAGGAATTAAGTTTGCTGATATTTAATGAGAAACTCGGGGTAATGTAAGCTGGGCTTTTTTTGTGGTTGAAATTTCATAAAGTTCTGTATGGTGATCTTGGTAGTGCACACCACTTCTGTAAGCTTACACCACTCTGGGTACCTACCATAACTTAAACACTCCGGAAGAAAATTAACTAAGCCTTGTCATGCCTTTTTATTAGAGTTTGTGAGAAAATTGGGGTGTTGCTCAGGTAAGCTTGTGCGTTTTTAGCTTGGTTCTGAAAATAACCCAGGGCTGACAAGTGCAAAAGGAAGTAAATTTGTAACATAAGGTCAGTGTAGCTTATATAGATTGAGGAAATTTTGACTAGTCCAAAGGCCTTTAAAAACTGTATCATTAAAGTTATACTACAGTGCGTAATTAACTGACAGTTATATATTCAGATATATAGAGTGTTAGTACCCTTGTTTCTTGTCTGACCGGAACTTACAGGTATCAACTTCTGCATTAGGGATGCTAATATCAACAGGGCATCATCCCTGTCCTCAAAGAGCTTATAGTCTAATGAGGAGACAAACTATAATATAACATAATAGTAGATGTTGTACGAGAGTTTGCTACACAGTTAGCAGGAGCCTTGCTGTGCTGGGGGTTGGATGGAGCTTGGCAAGATTTCATGCAGATAATGTATTAGCAGAGATGAGTTTACCGGGGGGGGGGGGACACGACTGGTGGGGGGTACTTAATGTTGAAGTTATCTCTGCAATTTTGGGTAGAGAGGGAGTGGAAGGACTTTAACTTCCAGGCCTATCATTTCAATGAGGTGTTGAGAGCACCGACACCGACTGACTAGTCGTTGACCACCTTGAGGACAGAGAGAACTTCTCAGCATCTTTGTATTCTCAGAACCAAACACAGTGATCGGTATATTGTAGATCTCCCAGTTCTGCCTCTAAATCTTTTTGCCTTGGGTTTCTCATTTGTAAAACTAAAAGAGCTGGGTCTTTCATTTTTAAGACTCCTTCCAGCTGTTCTCCAACCTTAAAAAATATAGTTAAATAATTTATGAAGATGGAGTTAGTTGCCAGCAAAAATAAGGACAACATTACTCTGGAGAAATCCGTGTAAGTGTTAGGGAAGGTCAGAAATGTTCTTAATACTCTTTTTATATTGTTTATACTATTAAAAAGCTGGAAACAACCCAAGTGTTCATTAACAAGGGAGTAGATAAATAAATTGTGGTATAATCATCCAGTGGGCTACTATACAACTAGTGGGAATATATGAACTGTAGTCACATGTATTAGCATGTATATATTTCATAAACTTAATATATAAAAAGAGCAAATTGTAGAATAATATATACAGTCTGATACCATTATAGAAGGCCAAAATCATACAAAGCTGATATATTCTTTCAGTATTATAGGAAATATATGAAGAAAATCAGAAAAATGAAATACAAAATTCAAGGTGGTGGGAAGGCAAGGGAATATGATCAGGAAGGGGCAAATATATAGGGACTTCCAGAGGTATTGGTAATTATGAGTTCAGGTTAAGTCAAGTTAAGCTGCAGTAACACATAACCCTAAAATATCACTTGTTTAAAATGATGAAGATTGGTTTTTCACTCTAGTTTCATGTCTAACCTGGGTTGATAGGACATTCTGCTCCACATAGTCACTACTATAATCATGTTTTATTTGTTAAACAGTGTTATTTTTTATAATTCATACAGGTTGGACATGTATATATGACAGATACATCTTATTTAATGTGTGATTTATTTCATAGTGAAAAAATTGGAAATAAGAAAATTAGTGCAGCTACAATGCTGTCAATTTCTAATTAATGAAAAAATGAGTTCTTCATTCTTGATACTAGTTCTTTGCTAGTTATATTATGAATATCTTCTTACAGTGTGTAACTTATCTTTTAACATTTATCTTTTGATGAAAGTATTTAATTTTAATATGGGCGAATTTGTCAGTCCTTCTTGTGTAGTCAACATTCTCTTTGTCTTAAGAAATTAGTGCCCTACCATGAGCTCTAAAAGATATTAATCCCTATTTTCAATTGAGTTTTTAAAAATCATTTTTATTATAAGCTATAACAGATTCAAAACAGGGCATAAAGAAATATGTTTCTAATGAATTTTAAAGTGGTAATATGACATTTAAGTCCTTAATCCATTTGGAGAGTATTTTGTTTGTTTTTGGTGCGAGGAATAGATCTATATTCATATAAAGTTAAATCAACTAAATATAAAATTTTAAACAAATGTCTGTAGATGCACAGTATGACATAAAAAGCAAAGGAAGGAAATGATCAACGCATGATCCAATTGCTGGCTGTCTTGGGTGGAGAAATCAGGGCTTAACTAAAGGATAATAGAGCAAAGATCACACTTAGAGCCTGTTTGCTTAATTTAACCCAAAAGAGTATTGTCTTGTCTTTTTTTTTTTGATTATCTGTTCTTTAAAGTTCTTTTTAAATTAATAGCGGTGATAATCATTAATGCTGTTTACCAGATACTTCTAGTTCACTTCTCTTACCCATATGTTCCTGTAGCCCTTGTTTCTGGGTCAGACCAAGTGCTAGTTCAGCTTGAATTGTGAACAGAAGTGTTATGTCACTGCTGAGTCAGAGCAATTAATTCGTGAACCAAGACCCTCCTGAGCCCTCTTCTCCCCTGCCGTGGGGGCTAGCAGCACGGAACGGCTGTATAGTCAGCCTGAAGCCCAGAGACTGATCAGCAGAAACTCCCTGCTGGCCTTCAGTTGGCACATGGCATTAATGAGAAATAAACCTTTGTTGTTTTAAACTGCAAAGATTCCAGCTTTCTTTGCCCCTACAGCATAACCTAGATTTACTTGATTGATATAGTTCCCTATATTTTATATAAAAATCTGAATTTTTGTGGTGAAATATCAAAATGTCTGATAACACTGACCTAAATTTTTTAATGACAGCTGCCGTTTTTTAATCGCTGGAGGTGGCTACGGACTGCCTCCTTTAAACTAGACTTGTGCTCCAGGTTTACCATAGTCTTC